ATGCTAGTTAAATGAAGATATTATGCTGTTTCATGAGTGGTCAAAATCAACCAAAATGTTCGTGCTATAATGGCGCGGGTCGTGTCGACATTGAATAAGATCACTACTATAGACCAATTACGTGCCCGTCACAGCGAAGATAGAATAATCCATACGAGTGAATATACTTTCTGTCGACTTCGTGCTATCGAAAGAATACCAAAATCGTGCCAGAAAAGAGTAGCAAAATTACTGAGACAGTGATGCGAAAATGGCAGGGACACAAATAGTAATAAACAAAGAGGTTCAGTAAAACAATCACTCGCAAAATTGGTTATAATAATGAGTTTTCCTATTAAACCAATCGCGCTCTCTTCATAACAGTGTTGTCACTACAGTACATTGAACCAGATCGAATTTCTCTGAAACACCAAAGTATGTAGTTTCATAACGAACAGTGAAGGCTACAAATGTGAAATATTTCCATTTTAAAAAATACAACTGAAAGTTTATGAAATTAAAGAAATTTATTGGCTATAATTTATTTTATTCATCGAAATTAATGAACGTAACAACACTTAAGACTTGCAATAGAGAAAACAAGCATTAGCTGATGTCGGTATGTGTTACCTTCACTTTCCAACAATAACCAATCGTAATGCAGAATCGAACAGCGAGTGGCTCTTTTGATAAATAAACATTTCTTCACAATCGATTATCTATCGAGTCGCACACACCAATAAACTGATATTACTTAACTAAAAAGAAAATATTTAAGTGGTGAACAACTGTGTTTATATGATGTAATTTTTAATAATTACTGTGAAGGTTTTCTGCATAACCGTCTAATATATATGCCGGGACTAGTTTGATAGTCACCGAAGAAATACAGAATGTCTACTCAGTCGTATTTCTATAGTCTTGTAAATACTGGTGCTTACGGTGGTGTTTCGTTCTCTGAGCTGGTTGTTTTGGTTGTGGAGCTTTCATTGTTATTCTGAACAACATCATCAGCACGAACTTCAGATAGAAGTGAAGCATTCGAATTTCTCCACGAATGACCTGTAGCTTGTTCTGCTAACCTCGATCTTGATTGGTTGTTGTTGACCTTTGACCTGTCATTGTTCGCAACTATGTTTTGATTGCCTCCCTCTTTTGATCTGTTTCTTGATCCAGTGTCACCTATGATTTTCCTGATTGGTTGATAAATTGGGTCAATGTTGATGTGTTTGTTGATTGCTAATTGACCTGAGTGCCAAGCTTCTAAAAATTCTCTAGTGTTCTTTGTCCTCCCCCTACCCAGTGTTTCCACATTGTTCCAATCAAATGTGTGTCCATAATTGTCGGTGTGTATTGAGATAAGCGAAGCGTTGTCGTGGCGTTTGACTGCTAATTGATGTTCACGTAAACGGAGCTGAAGAGGTCGTCCACTTTGTCCTATGTAGTGTTTTTCACAGTTTGAGCAATTTATTTTGTAGATGATATTTGGTTTTTCTTCCTTTGTCATTTTGTCCTTTGGTCTACATAGGATTGACTGAAGTGATTCTGTTGGTTTGTGTGCCACACCTATTCCAAATGGTTTCAGTAGTCGTGCCGTATGCTCCGATATGTCTTTGATGTATGGTAGGATGATGCGTTTATTTGTTCCTGTGCTTGATTTCACTTCTGATGATGGTTTTGGTTGATGTTTTTTGGTGAAGTTGCGTGGATAGCCGTTCTTTTGGAAGATCTTACAAATCAAGGTATTACGCCAGTTCTGGCAGAAGTTGCAGCTATTCGTGATTATCCTTTGCCTGAATCACAAAAGATTATGAAGATTCATCCCAAATTGTGCGACAATATTACAACTATTCCATCAATTAGCAGAATCTATTCAGCCATTCGAGAACGCTGTGTGAAATCCAAATAAGAAGAAGATGATAGAATAATGAAAGAGTGAAGCTACACTAGCCCTGGTGACTAACCCATCCAAAATAACTATGAGAGCCGTATTACAGCACTTGGTAAATGACACTTCGGAACAACCTCCTTTTTTCGCAAAGGGATTAAATCCTACTCAAACGATGCAAAGTACGTTCGGAAAGGCAATAAAGCACTGGATTTATAAAGTGAATTGTGACAAACATCGCAATTTATAGTAACGGTTATCAGGACGAACAGTATGCAAAATTTGGGAATCTATTTTGAAAGAACAGTGAGAAGACGTAATTGATCTGTTCTATCAAAATTATAAAGAGATTAATTGTCTTAGGAATATATCGTGCATCGGTAATTCGCTTCTCCTCCACTTGCATTTGTAGAAGCCATCGCCAATAAAAGTCGGTGAATAGAACTTCTCGGAAAATGGTTTAATACGCGTAGCCGTATGCGAATATATCTAGAGCGCCAGCAGACTATCCTTACCCTCGACCAAATTAGGGTATTTGGCGGTTAGTGTTCCATAACCTTATACTTGAGAACACTGTAGCTTAATGCCTGATGTATACATCTGGACTAAATGACTCCAGTGTTCTTAGATGGAATAAGAAGCATTGTCAAACGGAGTATTGACCATATTTGTTTGAGAAACATTGGCAGCATCGGTTGTTCTGACTAAACTTATCAGATTAAATCAACTCACAATGCAGCATACTTTACTCTTTTTACCGTTACCATCAACCATACGGAGAATCTTTTTGCAGTTGGTCAATTTACTAATACTTTCCAGATATCAATGATGCTTTTTGCGTTGTGTTACATATTACACTTGTTGTGAACGAATCCTTATACCTTATTGATTCCCGTCATTATTCATAGCAAAACAAAATAAGTCCATGGTGTAAGGTTTTATTGAAGTAGAACGTTGGCATTACATGGGAGCAGCAAATAGATAAAGATGGCAGCAATGCAAAGAGAACGTTGCGCGCGCAAGAAGTCGTAGCAGTGTTTTTGGTACAGTTAAACAAAAGATGTACAATAATGTTTACCTTTCAAAAATCCTATTTTCTTCGTAGAAGCGTTCCACTACACACTATTGAATAAAAATTTGCCGATAATTATTCTTTAGTGGCCAGAGTACTTGACTCCAGTTTGGACGAATGATCGTTTATGCAATGAAAGAAAATCTTCCTATCCATTTCCGTATAACATGCTGAGGCAAACCGCAATTGTGCGACAGTGATAATACGAAGCTAAATACGGTTTTGTGGATGAATTTATTTCATGCATTCATTTAAGTAGACAGACATCAGCATGAAGAGCGTATGAGCAAATCGAATAGGGGAAGGCAAGTAAGCCAACTCTCCTGAGTTGAAGCATGACTAAGTAATATGGATAGTCAGACAATAAATAATTAGCTGAAAGTATAAGCATGCACACACACATACGATCAAATAAACACAAGTCGAATTATTACAACTACAAAAATATGATCGACACTGTTTTATCGAATAATTAAACAACTAATTATTCAAGTGAGTATAATGAATAAATGATGAGGTGCTACAATTCTCTTATCTCTTACTACTTACCTGTTGTAATCGTCCTTGTGGGTATAATAAATTCATGACAAGATTTGACTTAGTAAATTGACTTTCCATAATTACTGACATTTCGCTTAGCCTATGGAATTAGTCAGGAACCGAAAGTTTGCTGTGTAGTTGGTAGCCCAAATAAAAAAAGTATCTTGATCATGTTTGTATCGACTAAGAGAGAGGCTGATATTAGTTTCAGATGACCACTTGGTGGTAGCCAATGTGAAATTGAAGCGAAAAAGGTATTGGACAACTGGAGAAACAGCATTACAAAAGTTTACTATTTATTTATCTAACATATCATTATTTCTATTCTGATTCACTTAATATCTGTCACTTGTACAGCGTCCTACGAATCGTTCGATCATTCAATATGACTCAGTGATACTGTATAGACAAAGCAATTACGATTCAAATGGTAACTTTCAGTCAACATAGCTACAAATCATTTGGGCAAATTTACTGAGAATATCTAAGCAAGGAGGATTGACAAGTTAACAAGGTGGATAAGAATTCACATATTGTTATGATAAAGAAGAAATATGACGGTTGACTTGGATTGTTGATAGACGAAAGTTTCAAGCAAATCATGTTATTTATTATTAGTTGGTACTCTTGAGTTGTATTGAGTTACTCAGATAGTCTTCAGGTAGTAGTGGTTATTCCGTATTTCTCTGATTTGATCATTTTTGGCCAGCACAGACTTTGAGGTCAATGTTGTAATTCATCATCTGGAAAATTATTTATGGCTTTAGAAATTTGTTAGCAAAGCAGAAGAAATACACTTTCCATTGACTTGTTTTTTGGAAGAGAAATACTCTTGTTTAAACACTTAAATTAGATCATTAACTAGTAGGCGGGATAAATAAATACTTTAAGGTCATTTTGACACAGCTAAAGATAAAAGATGAATCGATATTTTGTCAGCGTTGAGAATACAAAAACTTATCATCAGTTGTTTGTATAATTATCACTCAAATATTAATATAGGACTATTACAACAAGATAACATGAATCATGTCGGTTTTTAGTAAAATCACACTAGTATATCAACTGAAAAGGGTGATGCATGATCGGTTGGAATTTATTTATTGATTACATAACTTATAAATTTTTTTTCTGATAGAATGTCGTTATCTAGAAAACAGTTTACTTCCATTGAATGACATATAAAATACTGAGACGAAATATACATGATTAATAAAAGGAGTTTGATGGATGTAATCAATCGAATAGGTCTGGTCCAAGTTTAGACTCAAAACAGATGTCACGCTGATTCGAAATCTATGTAGGTGTTAGAGACTTTACCGGTAAGAATATCAAGTTAATCTGTTAGTTTGTGTTTTCCGTTTGGTTTGTAAGTGTGTAGTCATATGACTAGATGATCAAGGTGCAACAATCATGCAAACTGTATCGTTGAAACTGATTGTTATGTTTACATGCTTATTTAAAATATTCACTCATGCATGAAAAATCCAGTCAACTAAAATAGCATACAACAACAACTGACAACACTGTGATAGTAGTAATTAATTACACATTACGAATAAATTATTTTATTCGCATACAAACTAAATATAGAGGAATATGAAAAGAATTGTTGTAAAAGTAACAACTGAGTGAAGAATGTATGTGAATGATAAAAAGAAAATACAAGATAACAAAGAGAAATATAAAAAACAAATTTGGCGCGTACATGTGTGAAAAAAATTAAACAAATTTTTCCCATACATACGGATCATTCAATATTCAATGCAACAAATAGTGTGATGATACGTGCAAAAATGCAAAGACAATCGCATTAAGACTCTTCTGCACTTAAATGTAGAAAGGCCACTTTACTGCTAACATCATATCGATTAATACGGGAACTTGAAAACTAGCCACTATAAATATTATGTACACACATATTATATCATATAACAGATGCTAAAATTTATAATAAAATACATAATTAGAGAGAATAAATAGATAATTAATTATTAATTATTCACTTAGATAAATGATAATAACAATTGGGAATGATTTTTTGTACACACTAATTCGATTCTATCATAATAAGTCACATCACAAAGGATGTCAGTTAAAAAAACCCACTAAAAATCAATGAGCGTAAGACATTTTTATTTCTAGTTTGATTGACATTTTCATGTGGGGCTTACTAATCACATCATATGAAATCCAACGCAGTAGCAATGGATTCAACTGCAGTTATAATTCATTTCTGCTACTACTGTTTCCTTAGTTAACAGTTCATTTATCCAAATTGTTACACAGCGTGAAAAATATCCAATGCTATCGGTAGATAACTATTTCATCAGTGAATCGGCTGAATGAAGTCAGAGATGTTGAATCCGACTCAGTGATAACCTTTCCTTACATGAGACCTGAAACTTGTTGGTCCAATCTCTTGTGGAGTGACGGGTGTATAGTGTACTACCGTATGACTGCCCGCACGCTGAAACCAAACGTATGCACCAATTCACATCACGTTTCATAAAATCAGTTATTTTTACGTGATTCACCTAATCCGTCAAAGCTTATAGGTGCGATTTGCAAAATCTGATCACAATTTCAGCAGATCTTTATTTGAATTCATTAATGGAATCCATTTGTCTTCAATACATAATTACGTCAAATCTAGCTGACAATAGTCAATGTAATCTAAATGTTACGCTTATTGACACTTACACTGCTGCCTGGCAGTCGTTTAAACCTACCAATTGTGTTGTTTATATTTTAACGTAGGTTGAATAACAGATGTGTTTGCTATAAATTGCTAAAATTAATTCTATTGATGTTTGATTGCTACATCTCAGAAATCCGTACATCAAATATCAGTGGACTACTGAAAATCACATTCCATATGCTTCGGTCTCAGCAGCCTATCAGTCTCTCTTAGTTCTAACAGTCCGACTAAATGCTACGTAAATAAACCGGTGTCTGATAAACCAGTTACAAGTTATACATACCACGTCTTTATTTTTCAATCGTTCGCCACATATTTTCCAAAATATCTGTGAATAAAGTTAAAAATTATTCATGAAAAACATACAGCTTATGCAAAACATTGAACAAACCGAATTTAATTTTTTAAATCGGAGTTTGTTATCTCGAAAATACTATCTAAGTGATTATTTACGTTAGTTTTTTAAAACACTATATGTGAAACAACATGACATCAAACTGTTATGAATAATTCAGTCAGTCAGCCATAATGTAGAACTTATGACGTACGTACATCAATTTAAGTCATCATACCAATCTCAAGTGGTAGAGGTAATTGAAGTATTAGCATTAATGGAGAAGATTAGGGTTCGAAAGTATAATTCAAGAAGTATAATCCATTGAAATAAACTTAGAAAGAGATAGATAAAGGTGATAAGGAATTGAGAAGATTAGAATTCCATAGAACACAAAGAGTGGATGTACATACGCTTTCGCAAACGATTTGAAGCCATATCATTCAAGGTCTCTAACCATAGGTTACTATAGTCTCGCTTACGTCAACCAGTTAGTCTACACCTACCAACATGGCTCTGTCCAATTGTCAATGACTTCGTGGCATTTCGCCATGTTTTGGTTCGGCCGTCCCTATCTTTCTTAAAGCCTACACCTACATTACAAAGCATCGCTCGTCGAGGAATTCGATAGTTGGACATAATACGTTACATATGTCCCAACCAGTTTAACTAATGCAGTTTCACTACTTCATCGACTGGCCTGTCATCCTTGTGCATAATTTGAATTTAATCTTTATCAATCACAATACAGTAGAGTTGGTGAATGAATGTTCGAACGAAGAATTAATTACTCTACCGCAAAATAAACTATCCATTGATTAACTGAGAGAAGAAATTTCAAAATGTGCCACACATAAATTAAAAAGCATTCATTATAACAATTACAACATTGTCGTCAATAGTGAAAACATTCATCTATTATTGCATACATAGTATAACGATATATTATCGTCAATTTTAAAGACGTCCAGAAAAAAGAAAAGAAATTTCATCAATAAAACTAATGATTTACTAGTGTTGAGAACTAAAGCAAACACATGCACATAGACACACTAATTACACGTATAATAATACTAAGGATCAGAATGAAATCTTCAATTAAGCTGATGTAATGGATGCTACTCATACGGCATACAAGTAGTATGCAGCAAAGTGTCGCCTAGAAACTACTATCAAATGGGAGTGACTGAAAATCAATATTCATAGAATGGAGTGATCAGAGTGCATTGAAGGCTGAAAGAGATATGAGATAAGTAAGCCAATAACCTGCTTGTATTGCAAATGGATGTTTGAAAATTATGTATATTGGTATTTGGTAAATAAACTGTTTTTTTCCAAATATACTAATATATCCTCTAGTCTTGATCCTTTCGTCAGTTATATTAGTAAATTACAATATGTCAACATATACAAAATCAGGTAACAACTATCAAATGTTGCTAAGTTGAAAAACTTCTGGAACTCATAACTACTATCAACCAACATAGCAAAGTCAAAATTCTCAATACAAATGTCTAGACAGTTCAACTGTAAGGAGCGGAAACGTGGAGGACTAGGAAAGCTATCATCTTCAAGATACAAGTGTTTATTAACAGTTGTCTACGCAAAATACTTCGGATCCACTAGCAAGAAGCCTTCAACAAAAACCTACTGTGGGAGAGAACAAATCAGATTCCGGTGAAAAGAGAAATTAGGAAGCGCTGGAGTGAATGAGATATATATTGAGGAAAGCACCTAACTGTGTCACAAGACAAGCCCCCAACTGGAATCCTCAAGGTTCAAGGAAAACAAGATGACCAAAGAACACAATACGCTGGAAATGGAAACAGACAAGAAAAGAATGAACAGCAATTGGGTGGCAGACTAAAAGAAGGCCCAGCACAGAGTAGGTTAGAGAATGCTGGTCGGCCGCCTATGCTCCATTCGGGATAACGTGTGTAAGTAAGTAAGTAAGTAAGTAAGTAAGTAAGTAAATTATTTGAACTAAAACTGTAAGTGAGAAATTCAAAAACAAAGTTTAGTTTGTCAAACGTTATAAGTAGAAAAAGTATTGAAAAATCCAGGACTTTTGACCACTGACGTATGTAACCATAAGAAGGAAAAAGTATTCAGAAGAATTATCGATGGACTCATATTAAATACAGTAGAAGAACATACAATAATATTATTGACTTATAACTTCATAGAAATCATTCAATCAATGTCATTTTAACACACACTTACACAAAATGGTTTCCAAATGCATTGAATAAAAACAAATGAAATGCAATATGTTAAGAGGATGAAAGCGATGATTAGTTTGGAAATATCTAAATAAGTAAATAACAAAGTGAAAAAGAATTGACCAGTAAGTATTTCGGTTGATTTATTCAACTATTCACTTTACCAATCGAAATAGAAAACACTGATTGCATTATATAATAAGATTTGTCAGCTGAATTTATTTTCCAAACTCTACCACAATCACAAACAAACACAAACATCTTTACAATATATTGAGCTGTGTGAAAAATAGTAACAAATGAATCCGGGGGAGAAATAGCGTCATTTTACTCGCATTACGAAACCGACAATCAATG